ATAATAGTGACTATATGAAATATATTAAAAATAGTGAAATGAAAAATATGATATGATAATTGATGATGGGTGATATGAATAATAATGAAAACTTCAAAGTTAAACCTTTATCAATCTATAATAAAATGACCTTGATATGAATAATAATGAATGTATAAAAATAATATTTAAAACTGGGCATAAAAGAAAACGATACACTTGAGGCAATTTTTTGGATTTGAAAAAAAAAAAAAAAAAAAAACTCGAATAAGCATTTGATTTATTTATTACTTGAAAGACTGTGTTTATTACACAATATGTTTGAGAAAATATCTCAAATTTTACTTTCCATTAAAGGATATGATAAATTAATTTTCGAAATGCCAAGAGAAATTGATATTTATCAAAGATGGATCGTGCTGAGTAGGCGATCGTTTCAAAATAAATTTTCTTACATAATTTGATTTAGTCGTAGGAGTTGCAAGTGCGTCACAGAACCATTTAGAAATTTTTGGAATAAATTCCTTTTAAAGATTCATGTTTCGTAAAGAAATTGTATCTAAAGTATTCAGATAATTTTATTTTAGAGTATAATTCAATTTTTTTCAAGAGGCTATGAAGAAAATTGCATTAGTATTTTTCAATAGTTCTAAAAATAAAACGAAGAGAGCTCAGCACAAATAACATTAGCATATAGATAAAAAACTAAAGTGTTGAGAGAAGATTTGAAATTTCCTTCTAAAGTTATTCCGGAAAAATCATTTCTGTCAAGAATGTTTCATTATATCCGCCTTAAATATATGTATTTAGAATCCTTGCAAAACAAAATAAGCGGTGCAAAATGGAGCTTAAAACAAATACTCAAGTAAGAAAAAAACATAATCACCATTGAAATCTGTCGACTAACAAAAAGGGGTCGGGATGAAAAACATTAAAAAACCTAGTGCGATGACATAACAAAATTTAGAGGTTTTATTCAATTCCAAACTGTTTTCTTTCGGCAAACAAACAAGTCCTGATATTTTCAGACCCGCTTTCATTACTAGTGCTTCGTTAGAGTTTAATTTTTCTTCTTTCTTTTGCTTAAATGTTAATTTACGAATAATTCTAAATACATGTAGTCCCTGGCCAAATTGTTAGACACCCTATAAGATTCTATGTAAAATGTCAATTATCTGGTGATACTATACAGCTTTATTGTTTTTACGCGATAGAAACCGGTTTGCACTTGCTTACTTTCGTGTATCATTGGGTTAAATTCAGCACTATTTTGACGATATATAATTTAAATTCGACGACTGGTTAAATTAGACGATGCATTATATAAATATAGAATATTCATATATACCTGATATACAGGTAATATTTTAGTATATTATAATAATTAGACCAAATTATTGGACGCACTGTGGTGTTTTAATAATGACAGATTTTGCACGAGTTTATAGGCAATACTTTTACATTTAAACATATATGTAATGGGTTTTTCTTCAGAATTTTTACATACTTCCGATTTGTATTTATTTTTAACGTATTGCATTACAATATTAACCCATTGATGCACGAGTATGGAAACCGGTTTCAGTCACAAAAAACAGTGTTTGTTTTTGGTTTTTGGTTTTGGTTGACAGTGTTTGTTTTTGGTTTTTACGAAATATTTTTTTTTAAAATTTTTTTTAAGAAAAATAAAATCGGGGTTGCGCAAATAGCAACTTCGTTTTTAGCCATATTAGAACTTTAAAACTCTTTTAAGATAAAGGTATTGAAAACTTACATACTGCATACGATATTTATTTACTTTGATTTTGTAAGTACCTAATATAACTCAATTCCAGCAGTATAAAGGACATTCACGAAGAAGAAGGTATTTAAATATTCTAAGGAGAAAGAATGCGTGAATGTCCTAAAAATGACTAAACTTTCATGACATGTAAATGACGTGATTTACGCTGCATCATTCGTGACAGCGACATCGTAATTACGACAGAAATAGACATTTTTTATGACTCTATAAAACTATCAAAATACGACTTTTACACGAAGACGATTCTATAGTTTTCAGATACTGTTTTTATTAAAGAAACTTCTCTAAACTTTAACTTTTCGTGAAAGGTTTTAAGAAATTTAGGAGAAATAGGATGGGGTTTTGTTTTCAAACAGATGCAGTAGTTATTTAAGTTCCCTCTTTTTTTTTTGCTCCCCTCAACAATCCCCTTAATTGCTTCTTGTTCATCAATGTTTAGTTTTGCTTAAACGTCAATATTTCCCACAAAAACTTAGAACATTTTGATTTCAAAATATGCAATTACTGAAGCTTTGCGCAAGGCCATTTTGTTAATCGTACCAAACTCAACGATTACACAGATATGAAAAATAATAATCGGAACTGGAAAAAAAAATTAACGGATACAGATTTCGTAACTCAATAAGAAGTCCACTTGTACACGAGACTTATAAAAATTCAAATAGGGAACGGTTTTTATCATTATTTATTAAGTTTTTTTAAAAAAATGTGTATCTGGCAACATATAATTTCTCTTTCTTTTTGTTACTTTTATTTTTAATTTTTATTCGAGAACGAGCTTGTGAAATAAAAAAAATAATTATCTCGTGAGGGAACGATGAATTTTCTACTGCAATGCATAAAATTTTTTTATTTAAAGCAAAAAAAAAAAAAAAAAAAGTATAGTGAAAAAAATCCCGAAACAAAGCACTTGAAATTGCAATAACGTTCAAATTTAGAAAAAAAAAGGTGGCGATAAGTTTATAAATGAAAAGGGCCTTTCAGAACGTCAAATTTTAACTTTTTAGTTTTATTTTAACCGACACTAGATCAGCAAAGACAGATTTTGTTTTACTTCAAGTTTAACAGTTGATAATTCTCGAATTCACAGGCGAATATACATTTTACTACAACACACTTTCTTAATTTCCATTTTTAAAGTCTTATTTATTCTGCGCAGCAAAACAAAATGCAACGTAAAGCAAAAACAAATAAGAGAAAATTCGAAAAAATGCCTAAAATGTTAATACTTTCTAACAAATTGGTACGAAAGAAAAGCTCTCTTAAATTCATCAACAAATATGACTCCATCAGCAGAACTAATTTTAGCTCTGTAATTGCATTCTTTCGGCCTGTAAGGAATTTTTTACGTCAGGTTCTACAACTAATAATCTCCAACTGATATTTGATTTTTTTTTATTTCATCGTACTACCTGTAAAAACATTTTTCTAAAAATGAAATTTCTAGTTTTTAAGTCTTTTACATGATGTGCAGAAAAACAAAGTAAAACATTGAGGTGAACATCTAAATCTATTCTAGATGTATAACGAAAAAGTACAGGGGTTCGTGCGCTGGCTGACCAAGCAGTGATTTCAGTTTCGAATCATCGTGAAAAATGAGCCGCATTAGCCTTTTAAAAGAGCGACTCAATTTTTAAGTGGTAGAGCCGTGATTGCTGAGGGGATAGAACGTTCGCCTTTTAATGAGGTGAACAAGGTTCGAATCCCAGCGATGGCTAATCGATAATAATTTCGCATCCGGGTTGCACCGACCACAGTGCTGACGTAAAATATCCTCAAATACTTTGACGGAACACTGGTTAGAGTCTCCTTGCCATCAGGCTAACCGTGGAAGGTTTACTCCTTGACCTGGTTTTCCTCTTCATGTAACGCAAATGCGGGTTAGTTGCATCAAATAGTCTCACACGAAGGGAAATTTCTCCTTATACTTGATCCAGGAGTTCCCTTGTTTTCTGAATCGGGTTCAAAATTACAAAGCTATGGAGTTTAATATTTGTAGCTGTAAACCCAAAAAATTGGATCGGCTGTTCAACGACGGTTATAAAATAAAATAAAAAGTAGAAGTATTTCATTATCGGAAATGAATCGCGTAATCTAAATAGTTTTGTTTACCTTATCATACTAATAAAAAATTTTCGACGTGAAAGCAAATCGTAATGCGTTTTTTAAAGCTATGTAGTAAAAAAACACAAGGCAACACACTTTTATTTATCATGTTATGGTTTTTTTTATTGGCTCGGAAAATTCCTTAAACAAGTGCGACACAAATCATTTCCTCTGACAATTTAAACCAAAATAAGTTGATCCAAACTGATGCGTTTCAAACTATTTCGACTTGGGTTATTAGTAATTTATGAATCAAATTGGGCAGAAAAGTTTTAACTAAATTTCCTTTACTGGAGCTAAGTTAGTTTGAATTAATAATATTTTATAAACCAAAGTAGTTTCAAATAAATTTTATTAATTTAAGCTAATTTAGTTTTAATTATTATTTCTATTATTTCATGAAGCAAATAGTTTTTTTTTTTATTAAAAATATGTGATCAAAACTACGAATCAGGTTCAGAAAAAAAGTAACGTTATGGAAAAATTCATTTTTTTTTTCAAATTAAAACTTATTTTCGTATGAAGAACCTATTGAAACTATTTTTTATATCTTTTTTCAGATATTTGTCACAGCGGGAATCCAACTCTTCAGCAAAGAAAGATGCTGAACCTTTCAATCAATCTTGAAATCAAAATTTTATTTGCGCTCTCATCATTGTCAGAGCCGAAAATCACGCTTTGCTCAAGAACAAGTGGCAGTCTGCATGTGCAAGGTCGGTGGTGTACAGGGGATGATAGAATTCCTCCTATTGTGAACAAGGTTTTGACTCACATAATCAGAATGGAGATGTGCTTTGTCATGAAGTAGCACATCACATTTTCTGACCTTTGCATACATTTTGGTTTGCGTTACCAGTTTTCTCAATTCTTTGCTATCAAAAACAGTATTACAGAAAGCACTTAACACTTGGCAAGATCATTGATCGTCTTGAACACTGAATGCACATAAATACAGCACAATCTGGCTATAATAGCGTCAGTATACAGGAAATCAACATCGTGTGCGCATGCGTTGAAAGTAAACACTGCACAATCCGGCTGTAATAATGTCAGTAGACAGAGAATGAACCACGTGTGCGCATGCGTGGTATGAATTAAATGATATACTTACATCTATCCTCTTGTTAGGAGAGACCTGAATCATAGCTCTGAGGAGGTCTTGACATTCGGGTGGAACAAAATGAGGAATATGGAAGACGCCGCGTTTCACTTTTTCTAGCAGCTGACGGAGGTTATCGTCATCAAAAGGTAAGGCACCCTGGAACATTTTAAATAATAATTACAAAACCGTGTATTATTTCTAGTCAATTGTTTTTATAATCCTTACAATAAAGTTTTTATACCATAAATGAAATGATAATTACCAGTAAGTAGCAGCAACGAGCAAAAATACAAAAAATTGAAACAATCAAGTATTGGGAGAAATTGGTCTTCGTACAGGACTTTTTTGATGGAACTAACTCGCATTTGCGTTACATCGAGAGGAAGACCACGAGAACTCCCCACGGTTAAACTGAAGGCAAAGGGACTCTAACTGATGATTCGTCTACCTTTGAGGATATTTCACGGCATCACTGTGGTCGGTGCCGGATGTGGATTCGTATCAACCAGCCATCGTCGGAATTCGAACACGGTACATCTCCTTGGAAGGCAAACGCACTATCCCTTTAGCCATGGCGTTTATAAAAATATTTTGTAAAGAGTGATAATTGCGGGTGACCGTAAATATTTTTATTTGTAAAATAGGGAGTCAAGCCCCAGTTCGCTGACTCTCACCCGCTCCCATGATAGCTTCACACTAACTGCTGTTTCTTGGAGCCGCGATGGCTCAGGGGATAGAGCGTTCGCCTTCCAATGAGGTGAATCGAGTTCGAATCTCAGCAATCACTGGTCGATACGAATCCCCCTTGCTCGAACTACAGTGCTGACGTGAAATATCCTTAGTGGTAGACGGATCATAAGTTAAAGTCCCTTCACCGCCAGGCTTACAGTGGGAAGTTCTCGTGGTCTTCCTCTCCATGTAACGCAAATGAGAGTTAGTCCGATTAAAAAGTCCTTCACGATGGCAAATTTCTCCCAATACTTGATATAACAGTTCCCTTGATTTCTATATCGGGTTCAAAATATCAAGGCTATCTGAGTTGAACATTAGTAGTCGTAAACCCCAAAATTGGGTCGACCCACCGACTGATCACAGACGGTTATGATATAAAATGTAATAAATGCCGTTTCTTGGCATAAAAGAGTTAAAATAATTAAATTAAAAATATATGTGATCAAACACGGAATTTTACAAAGCATATAAAGAACCTGATGCCATTACATTTATAAAAATTCAAAGCATTAAATGGGCAGGCCACATTATAAGAATGGAGGATAGCGGGACAACCAAAAAAGTTTTCTGTGCCAGGCCAACAAGTACAAGAAAAAGAGGACGACTAAACCTAAGATTTTTAGACTGCCTTGAAAAGGACCTACAAGTTTTAAAGATAATAAACTGGAGAACCTTGGCTGAGGGAAGAATGTCTTGGCATAGGCTTGTTGAGAAGGCCAAGGCCCATCCTGGGCTGCCGTGCCAATGAAAAGAAGAAAAATATATGTACTAAAAAGTACACTTTTTCCTCCACTTCCAAATATTTCCCTTGTGATACTATTAAGATCTATTAGGGAACATAAATCATTTTTCTAAGCAATCATTTTTTGAAATATCATTTATAATTAAAATTTATTGTTATAACAAAGTTGTTGAGTTCACAATGTTCTTTCTATTGGCGAGTTCACATCACGTCCGGGTTATCAATGTGTGGAAAAAGCTTTCGACTATGCCAACCTTCATTTATCAAAAGGTACCTCAAGATAAAATCGAGTTAGCATGTCTTATATACTAATGAAATGATGTTTAATAATAGTAGTGGTAGTTAACGCCACAGGATGAACATAAATAATTTTTCTTAGTAATGAATTTTTAAAGTAATATTTAAAATTAAAGGTATATCGCTATAATAAATTTGGTGTGTTCACAACCGTAATTTCATATTATGTTAACCAAACAGGCTGATACATAAAATTAAATTACTTCATTCAGACATCGTTTAGACATAAAACGTTTAGACATCGATTAAAATAAGTTTATCTTCTAATGTAGCGTAATAAAGCAATATGATGAAATAAAGAAACAACTCTTTTAAGGGGTCACAGTACCTTTGTAACATTTTTTGAAAATAAAGGTATAATCAATCATCCATTTTGTGGATGCTTTACATGCTCATTTAACTTATAATCAATAATTTATCTTCAAAAAATAGTTAAACTAATAATTTTTTTTTAAATTTAAAAAAAAATTGAAGAAATTCACAATTTTTAAGCCCTTAAGGTTTTTTCTATTTTAACATATTTTCAAATTTTTTTTTCTTAGCGCTTACAATATTCACCTTAACAATGTTGTGCATTCATTTGTTCATATATCAATTAGAACATTTTATATAGATTGTTTTGTACAAAAGTATGGGGAAAAAAGGTTAAATTTCCTGTTAGGTATATATAACATGCTGTAAAAATTGTAATAGCTCATAAAATGCTTATTCCATGCAAAGTGTATTATACTTAAGATAATTAAAACACAAAATTATCATCTATGAGTTGAAGCACTTTTTTTCAGCGCATTTGAAATAATTTGAAGTTTTACTATAAGCAATAAAGAAATATCAATACTTTGGTCATTTATTGGGTACTGTGAGCCCTTAATTTTAACTATACATTTTTTTTTAAAAGCATATTAAATAAAAAAAGTAATAACAGCAGAATAAAATAAGAAAAATAACTATTTCAGGTAAAAACCCTTAAATTTATGATACAGAAATATTGAACAGGAAAACAATACCTTTATGACATTTAATTATATAATGCTGATGACAAGCAAAAAAATATGCAGATTAATGCAGGAAAATATGCCACATGCTTTTCTGGCCTATAAAATTGTGCTGACACCAATTAATAATGTTTCACCATCATTAGATTTTTATATATAGTTAAAAAAAAATAAACATTAGCTGTTTTATCATTCAATATCTTATTAAGGTGTTTGTATTGATTTAAAAAATAAAGAATGTAAAAAAAAAAAAAAAAAAAAATAAGTCCATTCCTACTTAGTTCAACAAAGAAAAATTTTATTTTAGTTACTTATTATTAAATAATTAAAAAATTATCTCCCGTATAAAATAAAAAATAATTAACTAAATTTAATTAATGTATTAATATCTGGAAAAAACTGTATTAACATCATACTCTACAAGTTTTAAAAAAAATGTATTTGAACTTGAGTGGATGAGTAAAAAGTATTTAATTAACGATTGAAAATTTGAATAAGATATAGGGAGAATGTGAACTAATAGTGGGAATTTAAAAAAATAGATGTTTCTAATAATCAGAGATACGAAGTACCTTAAAATGTGGAAATGAAAAGTTGATATTCTGAGCAGATATATGAAACAGCATAAAAAATATAAATGAACATAAAAGCACAAATGAAAATTAGATTATAAGCATACAGCTATATCGATGCCCCTGAAAAGCATAATCTTAAATTTGCAACCCACAACTGTATGAGTAATGTCGACGATGATGTATGTTTACAGCATCGAAACAGCTGTATGCTTTCATTCTACAAAATACTATTATGAAAGCTTTCTTACCACGAGTAAAGCATACAAAATAACACCACAACTCCATACGTCTGCCTTGCGGCCATCATACTTCTCACCCTGCAATAAAAACAGAAATAAAATCAATTTAAACATAGACAAAACAATATTATCATGCTGCATTATTGAAGTGTTCTTATCATATATGGCAACGTTACTTTTAAAAAGTAACGAGTAAAAGTACAAGTATTTTTAAAAAAAGTAACGAGTAAAAAGTAAAAAGTTCTTATTTTAAAAAGTAACGAGTAAAAAGTACAAGTAAAAGTACAAGTACTAAACAAAAAAAGTAACGATTTAAAAGTACATTTCTAGGAAATCGAAAATTCAAAGTAACCTAAAATTTTATTGAATAATATTCTTATGTTCTTTAATGTTTTTGCAAAATTGTTGTTATTTATTTAATTATTTTTAATTTTGAAAGTTATGGATATTAATTTATTTTTAAATTCGGAAGAATATTATAATATAATTTTATAATATAATCGTATAATATAATTTTAAAATCAAATATAATTTTAATATCAAACTTTTTATGGATTTGCACGAAAAAGAAATTTTATCTATTGATTTTAATTTTTAGTTTATTATTTTTATTTATTTAAATTACCATTGATTTAAAATTGTTTTACTCTTTAGAAACGCGTTTTAAAAACACAAACATAAACAAAGCAAACACGGGGTTTCAGATAGCTTTGTGATCTTTGAGCTAGTAAAAAATAATTGAATGTGCAGTATAAGTTGAAACAGAAGGTATTTAAACACGAAGTTAGCTGTGAATGCATATATATTGCACATTAATTTTATAAATTAAAAAAACATAAGCATTTTTTTTAAATTTAATTTTTTGTTTTTTTAGAAAGCTTACCGAGTTTTAGAAAAAAGTAACGATTTCATTCGATATTTCCGTTACAAATACTTGTACTTTTTCCCTAAAAAAGTAACGAAAGTACAAGTAAAAGTACTAAATTTAAAAAGTAACGAAGTACAAGTAAAAGTACGTACTTTTTACTTGTTCCGGCGGTACAAGTAACGAAAGTAAAAGTACTGCCATATATGGTTCTTATACTCTTAAAGTCGGACCTATTCCATTCTATTTGTATACTTCTATTTATTCTATTCTATAACAGAAAACGAAGAGAGAATTTCGATATTGCAATCAGTTCATATTTTCAGAAACTTTTCCGAATTTTAATTAGCCGGCTAGGTGGCCGAGCTGCCAGCGTGCCTGACTGTGAAGCCAGTGGCTGCGGGTTCGAATCCCGTATTGGGCATGAATGGTTTTCTTTCTGTGTGTTGTTGTCTGTTGTGTCAATGTGGCCCACCCTATGAACGGGTATCTGTGGCAGTGTGGAATGGGTAATGTTGCTCGCCTCCGTGACTTAGGTTCACAGGTGACCACTGGGTGACGTTAAATGAGCAACACTTCCGGCATCTTACTAGGTGAAGAATGAATGTTCAGTGCCTACCGTTAAAAAAAATCAATTAAACTGATTGAATTATTTTTTCGCCATCTACATCATTATAAACACTTAATAGAATGAGAGCCACATTTGTAAATAACGATAAATGCTCTAATATCTTGGTCAGCTGTTCGCAAATGGTGTTCCGGGGAAGGAAGTCGTAGTTTCCGAGACACAGGACTTGTTTGCGATATGCAAGACACGGATATGCAAAAAATCTATAATGAATATATATGACAGGAACATCATTTCTGTTAGGTAACATGATTCATCAAGATGGAAGTAACGGGATTCATCAAACACAATCTCAAAGAGATTTACTAAATTATCTGTGACAGAAATAGTTGACAGTTTACTCAAAGATGTGGTGAAGAAAGGTGTTGTTTCTTGATTGTTGAACAAGTAATTTCGAGATCCGTGATTTATGTTAAACTACGATCTGATTAGTGTTAAGCACGATGATGGCTTGATGATGGTGACTTGATGATGACTTTTTTGCCCCATATATTCGCTTAACTCGATTCGGTGGTAAATGAGGTTGATAATTTAGGGCTCCGTCATAAAAAACTTGAAAACAGCTGAACTAGGGGCTTGCGATGAATTTTTTTCCAGCATGTCCAAACAATGCCCATCCAGATCATAACACCAACTTCTACATATTTCACAGTCAGAAAGTCTGGTTTTAGTTAGGTTTGGGTGTTTTTCTAAACCTATTTTCGTCTCTTGAAACTAAAAATACCAAATTTACTTACCTAAAAAGTATTACCCTTCCCTAAAAATCAGGTGTTTTATTTTTCGACAAAAGTTTTTCTAAGTCTGCCCTTTACTCGAGACATGAGTTTAAATCGGATTACCTTTCTTACACTGCCATGCATGATGTAGGCAAAGAACGCATGATGAAGGCAGTGTTACGAAACTCGGTTGCATGGTGAGAAGTTAGTTAGCTAAGCAGGACTTGATTCCATAATGAACAAAATTGATAACTTAAACATACTTTTCTTCATAACCATCGGTGAACAACCGACATAATTTTTGGGTTTAAGACTACTAATATTCAACTCCGTAGCCTTATAATTTTGAACCCAATCCAGATGACAAGGGAACTCCTGGATCAAGTATTGGGAGAAATTTGCCTTCGTGGAGGACTTTTTTTTTAAGGAAATTATTATTACATGTATACGTTAGAATAGTTTTCTTGCTTTAATAAAAATGCTCCTTTTTTCAGCCTTACGCAAGCGTTGACGGGAGGGAATGAGTGAGAAAAAATAACGGATTTTAATAAAATCAAAACATCTTGCAACTTTGTAACGGTTTGAGAATTGAGCCATAATGGGTCAGGGTATAGAGAGCATTCGCCTTCTTATGAGAAGAAACGGGTGCGAATCCCAGTAATGGCTGGTAAATAAGAACTCCGCATCCGGCTTGCACCGACCACAGTGCTGACGTAAAATATCATCAGTGGTAGACGGATCTGGGTTAGAGTCCGCTTCCTATCAGGCTAACAATGGGAGGTTCTCGTGGTTTTTCACTCCATGTAACGCAAATGCGAGTTAGTTCCATCAAAAAGTCCTCTATGAAGCCTAAATTTTCCCCAATACTTTATCCAGGATTTCCCTTGTCTATTGGTTCTAAATTACAAGGTTACCGAGTTGAACATAAGTAGTCGTAAACCCAAATAATTGGGTCGGCTGTTCAGCGACGGATATAAAATAAAATATATTTTGCTTTGGATTATAAATCTGTAGGACTCCATTCGTCCACTAGTAATCGTTATATAAACAGAACAGTAACTGGTTTAGTCGTAAAAAAGAGGGATAAATAATAATTTGAGCTACATAAAATAAAGAAAAAATGCGAATATAGCACAAATACAGGTACAGAAATATACATGTTATAAGTTCAATTTTATAAACAAGAAAACCTTCTTCAGTGACTAAGCACCAAATGTCTGTAGAAAAGGAACGAGGCAAACAAGTACAAAGTACAAACTAGCGCAAACATTAAAGCTGTCTGTATTTTATAAATAGTTTTGTGCTCTTTAACGTTGTTTGCCTTAGTTTGTATTTTAGCACAAAGGTCGCCCACTTGTGTATTTAAGTACAAAGTAGTGTAACCAGAAGAGGAAAAAGAACAAGATAACAAAAGAAGAGTGATAAGAAGCAGGTACGAGGAATAAAAAATTAAAATAGAATAGATTTCCAAACTAAAGATCATTAACTAAATTATGAATTTTTTTTTAATGGGAAAAGATTCCCAGAAGTCAAGGTCGGTAAATAAAGATAATTGTTAAAGATTTTAGCAGAAGAAAACTGAAACCAATGATTATAATTCGAACTACGTAAGACGATGGAAGATCCTTCAATATCGTGATTTTGGACAAAGATTTCATGTTCTTTGATTCTAATTTTAAAAATGAGTTTAGTTTTTTAATATTCGCAAAACCGCTCTGACAAGAACCACACCCCAGTTATTAATATCTGAAATAGGTTCTTTAGGGTTGATGAAATATAATTTGCTTATAGGGAAAGAAACGACTTTAAACTCAAATTTATTCAAAGTCTTATCAATTTGGGCACTGATTTTATGCCATTTAGTTTTATGATCCAAATTTGCTTGAGCAATAATTCACACATTTTCTAATTAGCCTAAAATTACATGAGCGGATTCCAATGAGCTTAATAAATATCAAGCTAAATAGAACTGAGCCGTGACTTTTCCACTCAGCCTGGCATTTTGCGAAATAACAGATATCTGCAAAAAGCTAGATTTTTTTTCCAATTAATTAAATAAGAGCCGCTGTGGCATAGAGAGTTCGTCTCCCAGACTTGATGTCGTCGATTCAAATATTGCTCCCGGCTCGTACCGATTACAGCGCCGACAAAAATATCAACAGTTGTTGATTGATTATACACAAATAAGGATTAGTTCCATAAAACTAAATTTGACACGAAACCTCGATTTAAGGTTTCCTCGATTTAACCTCGATTTAAGGTTTTTATACAGAAATTTGTTTTCCTAGGTTTTGGATAAGGGTAATGTGAGTAGAATAAAGCAGATTGTCACAGAGCTCGTTTTAAGGTTGGAAGGTTTACACGTAAACCCTATTGCAAACCTTTTTAGGTTTACATTAAAAGGTCTTTGTTGAGTGAAAATAAACCTTCATTTGCTATCTGGGAATGTTGGTTGAATAGAGTGATTTTCCTCTCTCATACATAATTTAAAAATTTTAGTAATGCCTTGATACTTCTGTAATTAGATATTTTTGCTGATATTCAAAATAGCGTACTTCGTAAAACGCGAAAAAAAGAACAAGAAAAATTTCGAGTGTTCTTGTTGGAATTTTCAGAAAATCACCGGAATTTTCAAAACGAAGTGAAAATACAATGGTTAGCAATACATAACTCGGGGAAAAAAATCGAAAAATAACTTGGATTTGAAATGAAATCGGCACAAATGAAGAGTGTTAGAAAATGATTATTCAAAATAAAAATTTCCTGCATCGTAATAAAAAAAATTGGAATGTTTAAAAACGTAGCTATAATCGCTGTGAAAACCACAGAAATTGTGATTGAAACTAAACAAATTAATCAATCAAAAAAT